TACACCTAAAAGATTGCGTTTTCACATCAATATGCAACTTTTTTATAAAACTAAAGATTCTACACACAGATTTGTCCTAGGCCTCTTAGTTAACGAAATACAGAGCGAAATTGAAAATGTTGTATTTTTCAACCACCTTTGTATCTCGGTTATCATATAACTTACCGAAAAATATAACATACTCTATACATGCATTAATTTATAAAAAAAGGTAAAAAATTCATTGAGTATTTTAACATACGCGGCTAGTTTAGAATAGCTAATCAAAACAATCGAATAATTTATTCGAGGTCCAATTTTGGTTTTGGCTATTCCACGCTACTTTCTATGTGCAGAATGATTGTGTACTTGTACAAGTACTTGCATTAAAAATATCAATAATTCTTGATTGACAGCCGTGTTATCTAAAATCTGGACAAGTTTATTTATAGTGCTGGTAACACGATGGAAATCAAATTTATCTGCTTAAATTAAATTAAATAAAATCATTAGCGTAACTAGCAATTTATCCTGGGGTGGGCCTGGTGTTGAGCCCAGGGGGCGCCTAGGGCTTTTGTTTTTTTAAAATGAAAAATAATTTTAAAAAACACATTTTTTGAATAAAACGTTTACATGAATTTCTCTATCAATAAATTTCATAGATTTGGTTATCAAACCGTTTTCTCGTAGATTACTTAAATACCTACAAATTTCCTAAAAAAAATAAAAATTAACACATTTTTTGAACACAACAAAATAATATTAATTAAACAAAACTAGAAAACGTCATTTTTACTGCATCACAAGTAAATAAAAATTAACACGTAGCCAAGAGTCATAATTCAGGATTTCTCTGGGGGGTGCCCAGCCTAACCTAACCTAACCCGCACCCCTGTAGTTACGCCAATGAATAAAATGCTCTGTTTATCTTAAATTATGCTCTCTCTCTCTCTCTCTCTCTCTCTCTCTCTCTCTCTCTCTAATAAATATTAAATAATTAAATAAAATTAAGTAATACTTATTAATGATTATTAATTAAAATGTTAAAAAATGCATATTTTACCTTGTTTACCCATTTAAAGTAAACATAAATTTCAGTCATATTTCAACAATGACTGCTCTTAGCAAAAAACTAGGTATTCTACGTAAAAACTCTACGAAACTAAGTTTTCACCTACTGCAGTATACACGGGCCACTGCCGGCTGAGATCAGACCTACAGAGGATAGGACTGATGGAAGACGCCGAATGCCGACTCTGTATGGAAGATGACGAAACAATGAAGCACGTTATGAGTACCTGCCCCGCTGGTGGCAGGACCAGGTTTGAGGTGTTTGACAAACCTACGCTAGACCTATCAGACCTAGAAGACAATCACCCTCGGACATAACGGCCTATGTTAAAAGGCTGGGACTTGAGGGTGAACTTTAATGCTCTTTTTCTATTAAAGAGCTTGTAGAAACTGAGCCACATTAGGCATCGCGGGCGCAGTGGAGGGTCCCACCTGGGACCCACTCTTAGTCAAATACAATACAATACAATTTTTCACCTTTTCGATTAGTTATAGGATAACCAGGTACCCCCGTATATAAAACACACGAAAATAGAACACCCTGTAGAGTAAGATCCTTATTTATTCCATTTGTCTGAGACTAAAACAGCAACAGGAAACTCATTTTAGTATGTTCCTTTATAAAAATATATTATAATTTAATATAAACGACAAACAACAAAGAAAAACTCCGTAATTATTATAATTTTCTTTCTTTCTAACTAATAATTCATGGTAATGGATTTTTTTTCCTTGTAACAAAGAAAATCTTAGAAAACTTTCCATTTGGCACTGCGTAAACTGAAGCCCGACTCTAATTAGGTTATATTGCTCTAAAGACCTTCTGCTTACAAAATATATCTACTTCCCTCAGGTAGCAAACTAAAAACTTTCCTTGCTAATTTGCTTCCATCCACTAATAACGCGAGTTTTCGAAAGGCTGGAGGCCATCTTTTGCAGAGATTTTATGCAAACTAGAGCGTATTTTATTTTTAGTCGGGGAAAATGACATTTTATCTGGGAAAACGCGATAAACAAGGAGCTCAAGGCCTTTTTAAAAATTATCCTGATTGTCACAACTAATAAAAAGTAAAAATTAAAATGCAGTTATGCGTTTTTTTTAGAAAAATGCAAGTTAAGTTAGAAATATCCAAACAAATTTGACAATTTATTGTTTCCTATTATTAAAGTATAATTATTTTTTTATTAACATCGATACCAAAGTTTCCGGAGTTAACAACAATATGCGAAAGTGAGATTCTGATTTTTAATCAAGGAGGCTCAGAGAAACTGGTTGCTGGACGGAGAAACTCTACGGTCACAGCAGTATTCTTGAAAGATTACCGAAGGATATTATTGCTGGACCATCACACTATCTGACACTTAGGTTGGAACTTGGCAAAATCTTTCTAGTAAAAATTCCAACCAGAAAGGAGTGGGAGACTCACAAACTACTGAAAGAATTTGATATTGGGCTATTTACTGACGGATCCAAGATGGATCCATTCAGGTGTAGGTTCGGGGGTGTTCTCGAAGGGTCTTGACATCGCAAGGTCTTACAAGCTTCCGGATAGATCAAGTGCTTTCCAGGCAGAGATACTTGCAATTTGGAAGGCCTGCGAATGGTTGAGCGAGGAGACACTTTATAGGCGGCAAACTGCAATAATCACGGACAGCCTAGCAGCCATGTCGGCGCTGATATCTACCATATCTTCCAAATTAGTCCAAAAAACGTACGACAAGTTATCCTAAATGGCAAGTAGTTATGATATAACATTGCGTTGGGTTCCAGGCCACAAGAACGTCGAACGGAACGAACGCGCTGATGAACTTGCAAGGCGAGGATCGTGCCTTGAGCTAGATGTATCAGAGGAAGTTTTACTCCCCTCAATACAAAAAGATATTTACCACCTATCTATGGTGAACAGTAGATGAAAAACTTTAAGCACCTGCAGAACAGCCAGGAAAACTTGGCCCCAATACGACCTTAAGAAATCGGGAGAGCTCATAACTAAGTCGCGTACACTGAAAAAAAGGATCTCTCAGTCGAAATGAATATGACTTTGACCCAAAAGATTGGCACTTTTCAATAGGGCCAAGAACGACGTTTCTTTGCTCAAAGCGCATTAACTATCTTTTCATAAGCTTTAAAAAATTACTTTAGAGAATAGAAGTATCTATCTGTCCAAAGTATTTCACTCTTGGCCCAAAATTAATATGCAAAGAAGTTCTTGCTACAAGATCAATAGTCTCTTTGATTCATGCAAAAATTCTTGATTGAAAAGGGACATTTCTTGATTAAAGAGACACTTTTCTTAAACCAATAGCGGATACTATTGACTCAACTAAAATTTATTTTGATCTAAGAGAAGTCTATACATCATATACAGGCATATTATTTTCTGATAAATTTAGGTTTTCCTGGTCTGTAGTAAGTAAAGTGATATTATTTTCCTCGATAGTAGTTATTTCTGCTTCTTCACTCCTTTGTATTTTTTGGGGTGGTTCATCACTCTACAAATTACAAAAAAATGTTACATCACGATTAATCAAAGTAAAGCAAATAAATTATTAAAATTATAAGCTTTGGTCACATTTTGAATTTTTTAATACGACGACTTGAAATTCTAAAATTTTTGTAATTATTTGCATAAAAAATCGATATATTCTTATTCTATCTATAGTCATGCATGCATTATCTAAACAGGTGCATTAGGTAAATGTCTCTTACCTTCAAATATAGCAAATAAATGCTCTAATTTCCATTTTTTCAGAAACTCTTTTAAAGAATCCATATATCCTAAAATTTGTCCATAAAAAATGACAAATCCATGTTAATAACGATCACTAATTTGTTATACGATATGCGTTTAAAAAGCAAATTATGCAAAATTCCAAGTGGAAAATTCCAAGCAACAAAACCCGTGCGTACTATGATGTGCGACCTATGAAATGCGACGTACGACTGATCGGACTGCCGACTGATTGTATACACCGTCCTTCGTCATCGTCTTTGCGTGTCGTTATTATTTTTCATCAAAAGAGTATTAGCTATTGGAAAATGGCCATGTTTCTTGAATAAAGTACTTCCTAGCGAATTTTTCTTGTTATCTTAAAACAAAGTAACTTGCACTTGGTTGAATGAAACATGCGCGAACATGCGGCGAGAATGGGCATCCCTTTTAACGAAGTTTGCCGAAGCTGCAAGGACCCGAACGAAAGGGGAAACAGTTCTGCATTTCCTGTGCCGCTGTCCGGCTTTGTGTAAAACTTCGTGTTTTTACTGTTGTCGGGGTAAGACGTGTGTTAGTTCTCGGTTCAACTTGAACATAACCGCAATCTTTGCAAGGGGCATAGCTCCATAACCGTAGTATAGTTTCGGGGGCACAGACCCATATGTTAGTGGTGTGATCAGTAGTGCGCAGGTGCTGACAGTGTGGGGCCCCACAGATTGGAGTACGCAGGCTCATCTGGTGGGTGAGTGCGCAGGGCAAGGACCAAAAGGCAGAGACCTCATTAAGATAAGTCAGTAGTTAAGTTAGGTTAGATAGTTATTAGGTAGCCCAACCTACATTAGTCGACGCGAGTGTGCGCAGTGGCGAATATCAGATATATCTGATATTCGCCTTTTTTATGCAAAAAACTTTACGTACATATACAATTTGTTGGTAGTGCGCAGTGTAGTGGCGAGTCTTAGGGCTCGCCTTTTTTACCAAATAAGTTTACATACTTGTAGAACGTAGTAGCGCAGGATACAATGGCCGACAGGGATGACTCTCAGGAGGGATCCAAGAGGCGTAGGGAAGGAAAGGTCATGGACATTGAGAGACTAGAAAAGGAGTTGAGAGAGTCCGGTGGAAATTTCCCCAGGAGAAGTAGCCTGCCGAGATCTCCAGTCAGGATGTTCAGGGTACGGAGGAGGAATTCTATACCCCTGAAGAACAAGAATCCCCGGAGCAAGCAGAAAAGAAAAGGAGATTATTGGAAACTAGCAAGGCAAAGATAGGGGTCATTTTCGCTAAGGCTATGGGGGAGGCTGAGGATATTCTTAGCAAATCCATCGAAGAAGCGGAGGAAAGTCAGAGGGGAGTCAATGAGGAGCTAACCATCGTTGGGGAGACGGAAGCAATGGGAACATCAGGAAGAGGTACTAGGCAGCAGGAGCAGCAGGAAGGACAACAACAGGAGGGGACAATGGTCAGTCAATCAGGAGAAGAGGAGGAGAAGGAAGACGAGGAAAGCGAGGAAGAGGAGCAGGAGGAGGAAGAGGAGACAGGGGTTAAGGGTTATGAAAACTGTTCTGGGTTTAATGTAAATGTTGAGTTCAATAAAGTTAAAACCTGTATCGCGAGCATCAGAGCGGCTACGACGAGGTACTCGGGATCTAAAATACAGTTTAATCGGGCTGAACAGACGGAAGTGTCCGATAGACTAAATGATCTATCAGACATCTTCACAGCGTTTGCTATCGCGCTAGGGGAGATTAAGGGTAAAGATAGAGGGGGGAAAATAAAGGGGAAGGCGAGCGTAGATAGGGAGGGGGATAAGTTGGAAGGCATATTTAGAATGTGGGCGAAAAGGACGGAAGATCGATTCTTAAGGTTAGAGAAATGTATTGTTGAGAATAGAGTTGTGAAGACACCACTGAGTTTAAATCAAGGGGGTAGCATGTCAATGGGAACAAATGAGATGATGACGGTTGAGACACCAGTTGAGATACCGAAGACAGCACCCATATTACAAACGAAAACTTCGCTCCCCGTTTAAGACCCCAGAGGTTCCAAGAAGAGAGGAAATTGTTGTGAAGGGGCAGGAGCCTAATACCAACGTCATGACGGCAGTCAAAGATAGGCTGTCGTCGGATATTGTGGGCAAGGATGGAGTGCAGGGTATTAGGAGGTATGCAGGGGGAACTTTAGTGGTGGAGTGTAGGGATGAGGAGCAGTGGACGAAAGTGGGTGAAAGATTGAAAGGGGATAGTAGGGTTAAAATAATTGAGAGGGGAATTAGGAGGCCAGAGATGGTAGTGCTGGGTATAGAGAGAGGATACAGTGACCAGGACTTTGTGGAGGGGCTAGTCAGGGAAAATGAGGACCCGATTGAAACCATGGGAACCAGGAGTTGAAAGATGTATTCAAGGTAGTGGCAAGGAGGAAGGGTAGAAGTGAATACAGGAGCATCTGGTGCTGGAGGTGGCACCAGACGTATTTAAACAGATTATGAGAAGAGGTAGTGTAACGTTTGATTTGGTTGTTCACAGAGTGGAAGAGAATGTGAACGTTACAGTGTGTAGAAGATGCTGCAAGTTCGGACACGTAGTTAAATTCTGCAAGGAAGTGGTAGCTTGCTACAAATGTGGGGTGATCGGACACGAAGGCAACGCATGTAGGGAAGGAATATTGGGATGCATCAACTGCAAAAGAGTAGGGGTCGCGGATGATATGCGAAGACATGAGGCAGTAGACAGAGAGTGCCCCGTATATGAAAGGAAAATCAGAGAATATTCGGAGAGGGTTGATTATGGGGAATGAGAGTACTACAGGTCAATTTGGGGAGGGGAAGGGAGGCAACGAATTTATTGGAGGTCAAGGCTAATGAGGGGGTCTACGATATGGTGATGATTCAGGAGACATGGGCTAAGGATAACGGGATCAGGGGTAGATGGGTAGTGGCTGGCGACTTTAACGCTAAGAACGAAGCTTGGGGGTAGCGTTACGGATGAGAGAGGTGGCGAGCTGGTGGAGGAAAGTCTGAGTGACCACAGACTGATTTCCTTCAACATTGAGGGATCAGTCACAGGAGCCTTGACATACAGAACAACTAGGGACATTAAGGGGAGCTGACTGGACCGGGATAAGAAAGGCGGTAAGGGAGTTACAGGTAGGGGCTTGGAACTTGCAATGTAAAACCGGAATCGAGGAAGCGGCTGAAAGCATTAACAAAGGATGTATGGGAATATGTAAAAAATTCGATTGGATAAATTCGTGATTAGAGATTCGGCGTGGCCGGTCTGATGCATATTCTTTCCCCGCTGATTTTTGGGTGAGTTGGTGGTGGGTTTCCTTGGGTGATTTCGCTCGATGGTGAGGGGTGGCCGAAGCCTTAGGGTATGTGGCCACGCAGTAATGCAACCTCTTCTTGTCCGGCTTTGTATAGGACCCGCAACCGTTTCCTCGGTGATTATAGCTTTGTAAATGGGAAAAGATGTTGCCGGGAAGAGCATAACGGAAGTCACCCGTTACCTTAATGCCACCGAACAGTAAAAGTCCAACTTTTCCATCCCTAGGATTGAGTCTCAGAGTGAGTGGTATCAAACGGCAATTCTGCTAATTGGAGTTCGACAAGCGGTAGCGATCACCACTTCAACCAACCCAACCAACCTGCTTTGAACATTAAATCGTGCTTTTCTCAGTTCAGAGAGAAATTGACTTACCTGCTTTTTCTCTCTCTTCGAATGTAGTTTTATTTTAATTTAGACCACATTTTATTTTCCAGATTTTTTCAACGGCTATGAAAAAAACTCAATTTACTTTTTTGTCATTTTCGGAGCATAAAATCGAAAAAATAGAATTACGTCTGCACCGGTCTTTTATGAAAATTTCCGTTGCAAACAAGTCGTTAATACGAAATCTCCATAACCGAATCATCGACACATTAACAACCGCCATCAGGTTCTGCGTCGGAAATTGCAGATTCCGCACCAAAGCCCTTCTTCCTTTCCTTACACCTCCCATTTCCACCTGCACCCTCGCCACCTTGGGCCAATTGGAGGTGTTTCAGCCCCGGGGCTCTTCTGGCAGACAAGCAATGTCCCCCTCTTGTTTTAACCCCCGTTGCCATGCCTCAACCGTTTCCTGGCAATCGAAAATTGGCGAAAGGAAATTATGCGAAAAATTACATTCGGTTTGCTATTGGATGGTGACTTTACCAAGGTGATTCTTATTGGTCGGTTTAAAATTAGTTTAAATTAAGGGACTAGACGAAAAACGCCAATATCTTGTGCAAAGAAGTGACGATTTTCGTAGTCTGGATTTGTAATAAAATAAAATGTTATACTTCTATTAAAACAATATTTTTTTTAAATTCTCTTTAATAGAATTACTGCAGGTATTTATTTTCAGATTGAATAAGAAGCTTGTATATAAACTTAATAAATAAGTAATATACCGTATTATCAATAAAAAATGGCCTCAAATTGGCTTTCTCCATGAAATGATATTCGCCATATATAGGGTCCGACAATAGTACGTCCGTCGGGCATCTGTAGCTCCTATAATAAAAAAAAACTTAAAAAAAAGGAATTTTGTTTGTGTACAAACATATGTATTAAGGTGTGTTTCAGAAAGATATTTTAACTTCCACAGGATGGCTCAAAAAAGTATATTAGTGGATCAGGATTTTGTTTTTAAATGGTACACATTCATTTTACATTTTTGGCTTCCTTTCTAATCACTTTACATAATCCTAAGATATTATTCAATATGTTTTGATAGTTTAACCCCCGGTGTTTTCAGGTACAGATAGCGCGTTATAATCCGCCAGATATATTTTATTTGATGGATAGCAGAAAAACGTGTATCTTCACCTATAGATAGCTATATCTATTAGATAAAATAACCTTATCCCTCAGTTATCTTATTTGGGACCTCAACTGCCAAATAGCGCTTTATTTGTCGGATAAAAATTTGAAGCATGAGCAAAGGCATGAGGAGATATTGATTTTATTTGACAAAATTGGCCTAACATAACCTAATACATTGTTACTATTGAAGATTTCGTTTATTCCAATAAATTCGATTTTAGATTATTTGGAAAAGACTTACCTATTCTGAGTAATGTAGACTATAACCATTTTAGAACGTAGAACCAATAAACACATTGAAACGGTGCAAAAAATTATTGTTGCTAGTGCCGGACTTTATAAGAAGTGTTACAAAATAAAGAGAGCCTCTCTTAGAGCATCAAAACGAAGAGAATGCATTAAGTCAGGATAATAGTGATAAAACAGCAATTTATAAATTATTTTATTTAAATCCTTTCAATTATAAACCATTACCTATACCTATTTAATAAAGTTCTAAAGTAGGTAAAAAATAAATAAAACTTTTTAAATCAAACTATTTATTTCATTTTTGATTTGCATATCTTAATTCATTAATATTATAATAGGAACCTTATAAAACCTGTTATTCAACTCACATTTGCTTTTATTTCTTTTGTGTTACAATTTTAGTTTAATTTCTTGTACAATGTACCTTATACGGTATGATTGAAGAAAAAACGGCGTCAGGTTAGGTTAGGTTAGGCTGGGAAATGACGATCGATGACATTTCCCATATAAATTTACATATGAAGTGACAGCAATCTTCATTTCATAGCCATCGCTGAAGCCGTTGTTTTCGATCATACGGTACATCTCTTCTCCATGCTGTTTTTTAAGTAACTCTCTACCTAAACCTTGCTAAAACACCTGTGTTGTGGTCCTTTGAATTCCAGTTAGTTCAACTTTCTTTAGACAAGATTTTACCTTTATTTTTTCTTTTTTTTTTTTGAAGTTCCATCACTTTGAGTTCTTAAAAATAAAAGTAATATGACAAAACTGGTTTTATTTCATTGTATTAGAACTGAAGGAAGAACAGAAATATGCAATAATATACAGGGGGTTCCATTTAAAAAAATAAAACTTTTATGTGCCACGACTTTATGACCGACCCTGTATAATAGATATTTAAAAATCCTATAACTTTTGTATTTAACTTTATGCGCTACCTTCTATATTTTACCTAATAATCGACTGTTTCCATACATAAAAGCGACCCAGTATATAATTTTTTTTTAAAATATATTATAATTGCTAGGAATGTTTTGAATTCAAAAATATACTGGGTATTTACTATAGTTGGTATGTACTTACTTTGCTATAAATCTTATAATCTTAAACCATACAGGGTGTTTGGTTTGGTTTAGTTTGCATTTTTGCTTAGAATTGAAGGAATAACCGAAATATGCAATAATATACAGGAGGTTCCATTTAAAAAAATAAAACTTTTATGTGCCACGAGTTTATGACCGACCCTGTATACTTGAATTTATTACTCGCTAATAGATATTTAAAAATCCTATAACTTTTGTATTTAACTTTATTTATTTTTGTATTTAACTTTATATAAATATTATAATCTTAAACCATACAGGGTGTTCAAAATTCGGGTGAACTTTTTTTTACTTGAAGTTGCTTATAAAAAAACAACAAAACATCCAGTATATAGAAACTTCCCCAAACACAAAATCATAAAAATTTCTCTGCGGAAATGCAGAACATTTTTCTTGTGTGTGTATGAACTTAGCCTAGTAGATATACTCTGTTTTTTTTCTCAGGTAAGATTTCGACAGACGATGACAGAAGAAAAGCAGATGACGTCCCATACCAATCTATTTATTTTACTAAAAAAAGTTTCTAATAATTTTTAAGTTATCTATGGATGGGTTTAAATATAAATCCGTCATGCGTCGTGTCTTGTTGTTTTTAACCAGTTTTATTTTAGGTTTTCCTGGTCTGTAGTAAGTAAAGTGATATTATTTTCCTCGATAGTAGTTATTTCTGCTTCTTCACTCCTTTGTATTTTTTGGGGTGGTTCATCACTCTACAAATTACAAAAAAATGTTACATCACGATTAATCAAAGTAAAGCAAATAAATTATTAAAATTATAAGTTTTGGACACATTTTGAATTTTTTAATACGACCACTTGAAATTCTAAAATTTT